TGTAGCAAACGGGGCTCGAGTGAATCCAGCTCCAAGTTTTTCAGCTATCAGATACTCTGTATCTTTCTTAGCAGCAAAGCATCGGACAAGCACAAGAATTCCAACTCCACATTCAACTATAAGCTGTGACGTTGCATGAAAAAAAAGTAAGAAATTTACAAAATCATGATATAGAAGGTTCTTTCAACGTAAAACTAAAGAATATAAAGGACAGGGGGATAACTAGATTTAGGACAAGCTGGTAACCATCTTTATGTTACTTACCCAAAGCAGGCTCACCGCCATTAGGCACACAAACGAGATGTAATTCTTCCTTCCAACACAATTGTTCAACCACTGAACAAAATAATGAATTACATGATTTTTTGAAGAATATAAAAGCTAAGGAAGACAAAATAACAAAACAGGCATATAGATGCACACAGCATCTCAAGTCCCAAACATCTACCTAATACAGTCTACTTTAGGGTAATTTTCATTGACAACCCACATTCTTCATTGTAAATGGAAAACATAGGAGACAACGATAGAAACCAACTGGCATTATTACAGAAAACAGTGAAAATTCTTGGCATACAATTGAATTCACAGAATTACTTGAGAGTCTCAAGACTCTCCTAAAACCAAAACGGCCCAAGTCTATACAGTTGACAAGATGGCGAACCACTCAATATCTTTCATCTTATTTATAGTCAATATAACTTATTTTTGTTAACAAATTCTCTAATTAACCAACCAAGGTTACCTGTCAGACAACTAAACAAACAATAACTTTGAAGAGGGAAGAAAACCCCACAAGAAATCAAAGTGTGAAGTGAGCTTTTAGAAAGTTGGCATGACCTTTTTTTTATTAGTATGACACTATATTATCAAACTCGGCCATTCCGACTGTTATCTCGGCACGGAACAGCAAAACCAAGAAAACTGCACCAGACCGTGCCGTTTTGTCACAGATGGGTGACTCGGCTGGAACGACCACAATAAGGGGATTGGATTTGGAACAACGCCGCTCTGATGCGACTGCTCTGGCCGCGTCAACTGTATATGATATTACCCAAAGTTATTATATTGAATTTTATTGACATTTGGAAATATGTTTTGCTCAAGACTTTGGTTTTCATTTCTAAATATGAATATTTCATGAATTTTGATTTATTTATTTTAGTTTTTACAATTATATGTTCATTAGCATTAACTGTAATAGTGTCTGCGTCACTAAAATATCAGTTGTTCGACTCCCCGCTCCAGTTCCGTTCCTTGGGGATGGCCATGCCACAATCCAAGATTGATAACATAGGTATGACAACATACCACTAGACCTGAGACTAGGACAGTGCAATATTGAGTCATTCTAATACCCGATAACTGGCTTGGGGTTTGGTTCAAGCAAATCTTACCCGGCAATGGTGATCAAATCCATCAACACATTTGTCACAACTTCTACAATGCTTACTGAACTTCCGAACCTGCAAAATGCAACTAACAAGATGTAATACTAAATAACACATCCTAGAATTTTAATGTTCTGGTAAGGCGAGTAAATGAAAGAAAACTCCTCAATTAGATCTACTCAGATTTAGAGAGAGAGCAATATAAAAGTGGTCATGTGGTATGCAAAGAATAATCTAAAAGAAAAACTGCACCTTCTGTTGGTTAAGGGGTTAATTGTTAATGCTTGAACTATCACGAGTTATCAAGCAAGGGGTGTGTGTCTATGACAGATATTTTTCTGATTCATATACGGCAGTTTTGGGAGGCAGGTTGTTTTATTCATCTAAACAGAAGCAAACTTAGTAGCATTCTATGAAACATTATCTCCATTTTTTTTACTTTTATCATTTCTTATTTTTCTTGTATTGACTTTTATTTGGAGAAGAAACTAAGTTTTTTATAGTAAATGAGCCAACCTCAGCATTGCATAAAGTACAGAACAAAGCATCCTCCTCTCCAGATTGTTGCTGTAGAATAAAATCTTCATCACTACGGCAATCTTCTATAGCAAGGAAACTACACAAGAAACATCCGACTTTGGAGCACCCATTTGAATTGTGCTGATCAGACAATCCTTCATCCTTTAGTCCTATCTTGTTGGGTTCTGCAATAGAAGATTAGAGTTCAGATAACACAGGAAATTATCAAACAGCCCAGAAATTTGCTGTTCTAGTCCTATATGGTAACCATAACAAGGAAAAATGGAAACCACCTTATAGAGGTGCCAAAACAACAATAAAGGAATAGCTTAATCTGTTGTAACTTGTAAGCGCTTTGGGTTTTATTGTGCAATGTGCAGCCAGTTGCTTAGAGCCTAGTGAACAATGTCACTACTGTATAAGTATAACTAATTCATTTCAATTGCAGTTCTTTTTATTCCATTGGTGATTAGTGATTTAGCAACTCGGATAAAAAGCAGTATTACTAATAATACTAATTACAAAATTTCAGGGAAAACATGTCAATAATTGTGATGAATCATGAAGTGAATCTAATCTGACGAGTAAACCTAGAACATGACAATCATATCAATAAACGCCAATAGCTTTCAAATTCCAACCTGCCAACTCTTCATCAAGTTTTGATCTATTCTTAGAAGTTTTGTCACAATCAAGCACAACTCCCATATCAGCAGGGTCAATGGCAGTACATCGAACATAGAGAAGGAATACAGAGAGTGCCTACAGTTAAAAATTCAAGAACAAGTAAATGAAAAAATACTTCACACTCCACAATTTTAAATGAAAAACAGAACGAGGGTATAGAAGAATCAAATAGTTGCTTACCAGTACAGAATAAACACCAAATGCGACATATTCATAGATATCCTTTCCAAGAAAAGGAGCAAAGAAGGCATAATATGCAATGCATAATAAGAAAAAAACTGTTATAGCCACAACCTGTTCAAAAATCACAACAAGCAGGCAAAAGGTGAGAACTTTATGCGAATGACCGTTCTCAATGTCATTACAAATTCAGTAGTAAAAACCTATGAAGCACGGACACCGGAAACACAACACCGACACCTACACAGACACGTTGACAACGGTAATAATTTGAAAAAGTAAATAAATTAAACGTAATCACAGGTGTCTGAGTCGGTTTCGAACACCAGACACACCTTTTTTCCGAGGTGTAAACACAACTCTTCCGTTCTAGAGAGCATGATACTAACTAAAGTGTTGAATTCGAATCCTATTAAAATTCTGTCAACAAATATTATTATTGACCCTTATATTTATCATTATAAAAAAATCTAAAAATGAGAAAAATATAATTACACTAAATTAAAAAGCAGGAATCTAGAATCAAAATCAAAATAATGTTAAACAGTTAAAAAGTAAGTAATGTAACAAATGATTACTTGAGTTGAAAAGCACGTTCATCTAGAAAGTAAGTAGCAAAATTCAATGTTACAAAAAAAGCGACAAAAGAGATTCTGAGCAACAACAAAAAAGCGATTATAAATTTCCAATTATTATTAGAAGAAAACAAAACAAAACGAAGAAAATAATGAAGGCGTAATAGAGAGAAAAAAAGCGGCTAAAATGGGAATGAGGAAGTAAACGAGAAAGTCAAAGTGTGGAAAATGGAAAAAGTAGAAGGAAAATCACATGATGAAAACGGAATTTGAAAGAGAAACGTGAGAATGAAGAAGAATGAATGTACCTGAAAAGTGTGAAAAGGGAGTTCCCAACCATGACGTCTACCCATGTTGATGACTCTGAAAATGATAACAGACTAAGAAATCAGAACCATTTCCGGTTCAACTTTCGCTACGAAGTGTAGAAGGAGAAGAAAGTAGAAACGGATTTGAATTGTTCCTTGAATGATTCTTAGATTAGGGTTTACAGTTTTGCAGAGTCAAATTCAACTTAGAGAGAGAAAGAGAGAGAGAAGAAGAACCTCTTCAGTGTTGTGAAGAAAATATAGTACAGAGAGAAAGTGTAAGGCCACTTACTCTACTAAAATATGCAAGAATTCATTTTTAAATGTACTATATTGTATTATTCTAGTTTCTCAATGTATGAACATCTACTTCTTTTTATTCTATTATTATTATTTTAATTTTATTATTATTATTACTATTATTATTATTATTATTATTATTATTATTATTATTATTATTATTATTATTATTATTAAATGAAAATGTTAATGAGTGTTTTAATTTTTCAATAAAATTAATTGATATTAAAAAATAATTTGACTCGAAAAATATGCTGATTATTTATCTAAGATATGAATTTTTTTTATATGTTTAATAATTATTAAAATTATAAGAGAAAGGCGAAATGGCAAAGAACATATTTATAAAAAAAATTGATACAGGTATAATTTGATAAATAATTTATATTAAAAAGGTTTAATATATATTTTAGTCTATTAACCTAATTTAATGTTTGACTTAAGTCATTTATTTATAAAATGTTATACGTTAGTTCTTTAAAAAAAATGTGTTAGTAGATTTTGTCTTTTTCGTATAATTTCGTCAAAAATCGTTAAATCCTGCACACGCGTCAATGTAGTTGGATATATTTATTTGACATTGTTTTTTTGATTATTTGAAATATATTATTATGAATGGGAATAATAGGAACACGCTTATTTACAAAATGAAGTAACCCTGTTTATTCATAGTTAAAGGAGACGAAGAGAAAATAAAGTGAGAGAGATCCTAACTTTTTCAAGAAGACGAAAATCGATGTTCTAAAGTGTGAAGATAGACAAAAATCCTTGTTTTGAAGTGTGTAGACAAAGTGGAAGCGTAAACCTTAGAAATTCCAGAAGAGAAGGATGTTCGAAGAGAGACATTGTTCATTTTCGTTCTTCGAAAGGTACGTTTAAAGCATGTTTACTTTATGTTTTTTGTGGTTTAACATTGTTATAGCACATTTACTTTATGTCTTGTGTTGTTTAACATTGTTATAGAAACTTAAAAATTGTACCTTTATGTTTGCTGCATCTTATTAACTTATTTTCTATACATTATTTATCTTGAATATGGAATGGATAATAGTTTTGAATGTGTTGTGCATCATGTGGGTGAGTTTATTGAGTTTACAAAATTAGGTTATCAGAGGTTATATGAGGTTTGGAAATATGATCATGATTACTGGAGTTATTTTGAAGCGTTGAACGGTTTGAAATACTTAAGGTACCCAACTGTGGAGAGTCTATAGTATCATATTGCAATTGAGATTAATGAGATTGTTCCATTGAAAGATGACATGGATGCAAAGAGGATGAAAACCACTGCGGTGGTTAATGAGAATATGCATTTATATGTTCTCCATCCACATTCTCAACCTGGTATAATTGAAAAGTCAATATTATAACTTGAGTATATGGTGTATTACCTAATGAAAAAGAAGAAGAATGTGTTGTATTGGAAAATGACAAGGTAGAGAATGATGTACATAAAGACAATTTGGATGAAGTGAGTAATATAGTAAAAGACATATTGGAATAATTAAATAATACAGTAAAATATAACTTAGGTGGGACCACTAAATTGGATGAAGAGATTAATGAGGGGAGACACTAAGAGATGGACTACTAGTGTAGAACAAGATTTTGTTTTGTTGATGGGACCATTGAGTTGAACCATGGAGAACAAGAGGGACTTAAATGTAACCATCGAGAAGCTGAAGGACTTGACTATAACCATGAGGAAGATGTTAGAATCGACTTGAACCGGGAACTGGATGAGGGACTTAACTACAACCAAGCAAAAGTGGAGGGACTGACTAGACTGTAACCATGAGGAAGATGTTGGCTTTGACTTCAATCAGGCAATGGATGAGAGACTTAACTGTAACCAAAAAGAAGATGGGGGATTTGACTATAACCAGGACGAAGGTGTTGGCTTTGACTTCAATCAGGCAGTGAATGAGGGACTTGACTGCATTCAGGAAGAAGATGAGGGACTTGACTGCATCCAGGAAGAAGAATAGGGACTTGATTGTAACCAAGAAACTGGTGGTGTTAGTGAAGATAGTGCTTTGAAAGTAAACTTTGAGGATTCAAATGATGATATTGGAATTAATGAAGAGATTTCAATTGAAGAAGTGTTAGAAGAGAAAATAGGGGGATCAAGGTAAACAAAAGGGGAAAGGAAAAGGTAAATCTAAAGGGGAATGAAAGGTAAGGGTAACAAAAAAGGTAAATGGGGGAAAGGAAAAAGTAAAGGGAAAGGGAAAGGAAAAAGGAAGATACGGAGACCAAGTAAACAAAGTAGTCCGGTTGGTGAAGGGGTGGTTTGTCTGATGGTGTAAATGTAGAGGATATGCAAAAGGATAATTTTAAAGGATTGAGTGACATTGATGAATATGACAATGATGAGTCAACAAAAAAACATTAGATAGTTAGGTAAATGTACAATTACAAAGCTTTGTAACTTATGTACTAGTTTATAATTGGATTGTGAGTTAATTTTTAATTTCAACATTATACAGGCGTGCATCTGAACATGACCATGAGGTTAGACATATATCATGCAATGGAGAAAAGTACACATTTAATCTGTCAAGAAATTAAAGCTCTTGTAGAAAATGGATGCTGGCAGGATTGCCATATTGTCATGCAATTTTATGCATGGAGGATCAACAATTAGGAATTGATGATTTTGTGCCTTAATGTTATAAAAAGGAATGATATGAGGCTTGTTATGCATCGGTGCTTTATCTTTGTGGACCAAAACATAGTTGATCTCTAACCACCACCCATTAAAATACAACTTGGTAGGCCCAAGAAGAAAGGGAATACAGAGGCTAAATAGATGGTGAAAGATGATTCCCAACTAAAATTGGCAAGATTTAGAATCAAATGCAGTTGGTGTCATATAGATGGTCACAACAAGGCTACATGCAAACTACCAATGCCACAAGCAGCCCAAAATCAACCAGGACCAGTTGACTATACACCTCCAAGCCAGATAGTAGAAGTAGCTTCAAATCAATCAAGACCGGTTGATTATGCACCTTTAAGTCAAGCAACATAAGAAGCCTCAAATTAATTAGCACCAGACTGCTTTCAGGATTAGTGACTGACTCCACAAACTAGCATGGGTCTTTTCAACATGCTTTATCCTTATTCACAAGCTTCACGAGAAAAATCCCAAAAGGTCACTCGTCCAAATACTACTCAAAGTCAAGCACGCTTAATTGTGGAGTTCTTATTGGTTAGGCTAGAAAAAAGAAGATGCATCTTGTTGGTATATGTAGTATCAATCAATCTTTATAAGTTTTCCTTCAACCATGCAGTCACATACCTACATACCCTCAGGATCACTCTTGTTCCAATGTGAATTTGGTTTTTCCTAGAAGTTGTCATGAGTCGCTCATCGTCGTGCCTTGTGTACCGATTACCACTCCTCGTCCTCGTCGGCCTCAAGTGTTACATGTCCATCAGTTTCTGCTTAGTTCATCCCCAAACCATATTGTAATGGGTGAGGTATGCTCTTATACCATTTGTAATGTTTTAGACTGCTTTCAGGATTATCGAATGACTCCACAAACCAACACGGGTCATTTCAACGTGATTTGTCCTCACTCACACACATTCCGGGAAATTTCCCAGAAGGCCACCTGTTGTACCCCAAAATTTGCCCTCCCATATTTCTCAAAGACATGGCAAGAATAATATCCAAATGGCCTCAAGTTCTCCCCTATGTCCTAATATGTTCTCAAGTTCATCCACATCAAATTTCAAGCCTTGCAGAGGAAGTTTGGTCAGTCAATTGCTCAAGAGGTCCAAAAATCGACTGTGCTAGGGCAAAAGTCAACTGTGACCTATAACCAGTCAAACTTCAAGATTTTTGTCAACATTCTCATTTTAAAGGATAATTCATCATTTTATCAAGGGTTTATCATGATTCATCAAGGATTTCTCAAAATTTATCAAGACTCAAAAGTTGCTAAATTAGGGTTTTGTAGGAAAAGTCAACTCAACTTTGACCAAGCATAACTTTCTCATACTTTATGAGAAATGACCCATCCAAAGCTAATTTTTAAGAGTATTCAATTTACTACAATCCATTTTCACACCCCAAGATCAATAAATGCACTCACAAAAAGTTACAAATTTGGACATTATAGGCCATTTTTGAAAGTCAACAAAAACACCTTTTTTGCCAAAGCTTATAACTTGAGCATGCAATATCAAAATTAGATGAGACAAAAAGGGTTGGTTATAGGACATTTCAAGGTTTCTAAAAAGTCCAAGAACACCTCCAAAAGTTCAAAATTGAAGAAGTTATGCATTGTTGAAGTTGGGCACTTTTCCAAAATTGCCAAAAGTCAACTATCCCCAAAACTTCAAATTTTGCCAAATGGGCCCACTTTTTCCAACTTGATTTGATCTTGTCACACTACACACATGTCCTATCTTAAGTCTTGTGTCCATTTATTGATTTTTCTATTTTATTTGATTTTTATTGAATTAATTCATTTTAAATCAATTTAAATCCAAATAAAATCCAAATATTGATCACTTGGTATCTTTTTGATTGATATAGGTCTTAAATATCATCATGGACATAATCAAATCCGAATCAAGCCATATCATGAACAAATATTGGATTTTTGGACAAAATTGGAAGCTTTTTAATGGTGAATCAAATCACATCTTCAAACATCAATGCACCAAAATTCAAAGTCCAAAACTTGACCTAATTCATTCCATGTTACTTATACAATGCAAAGGCACGAAAATTAGAACCTAGAGGCTGCATAAACATCAAAGGCAAACTTGAGAAAATTGCAAAAAAAAGCTTGAAACTGAAATCCATCCTAGAGGCCAATTCAACGCAAAAACTCAACGATATCCTCTTGCTGGACATCCACTGAAGCGAAACCAACCTCTAACAAGCTTGCATACTCATTCAAAAGCGTTGTAAGTCCTTCAAAACGCGACCCTGTATTTGAAATCGCAATCTCTTATTCTGGCATTTTCTTGACAAAACATTGACATATTCATGATTCTTGAATGATTTCTAAGCTTTCTACATTATTCAATTGTATTTTTATAGCCTGTAACCCCATACCCGAACTTAGGGTTTTGGAAGCTTGTTTTTGGGCGTTTTCCTTGCAGGTAAAATCAGCACCATTAATGTACATGGACGTGTTCAGGAGGAAGAGACGAGCATGGCTGTGATTTTGGTTTGAGTTTTCATGGCCTTGAACGGTTTTTAGGATCGACCTAGGGATTTAGCTGCGAATTCAAATCTGCAGGAAAAAGAACCAGGGTTCAGTGGAGAAGATGAAGACGTGTCCCGGTCCAATTGGCCCATTCAAACACTTGGAGCACGTTTTTTTTAATTGTATGGCATATTATTGATGTTTCCCATATAATATTCATTGTTTATTATAGTAACAATTAAGTGCAGCAGTTGAGTTGGTAAGGGCGCTAGTACAAAATCCCATGGGACTTGGGTTCGAATATCAGGTCCCCCAAATGCATTTGTTTTATTTTTCAACAGGTGATTCCATGCAATGTCCAAAGCGTAGCATATCATGTGTCCTCAACCAGATGGTTGCCAGATGGCCCCAGGCCAGATCTGGTGGCCAAGATTGAACGTCCATCATGTTCTCAAGTCAACCAAGGCATAGGGAATCAGGAAGTCAACCCATGCATGCATGCAAATGGGCTTCAAATTGCCAGTTTCACCTCCAAATTGGGCCTGAACCCCCCTGGGTTATTTTTATTTCTTTCTTTTTTTTTAATCTATTTATTTAATTGTTTTTTGTTTTATTATTTATTATCTAATTAACCAATTAATTTTTTCCTCATCCAACAAAAACACAAAAAATATATTTTATTTATTAAAATTAAATTCGTCATTTTATTTTTTGTAAATAAATACTAACTCAATTAATTTAGTTTAATTAGAGAATAACTTTTAATTTTTTTTGCAATATTTAAAATCAATGTAGATAATTAGGTTTTACTAACTTTAAGTCAAATTTATTTTATTTCTTTAAATATCCAAAAATCCAAAAATATCTTTTTTTAATTAATTTATTTATTTATTTTATTAACTTAGTTTAATTCCATTTAATTCAAAAATAACCAAAAAATACTTTCTTTCAAAAAAGGGTCAAAACCCTAAAAAATTCGCATTCGATTTAATTTTTCGCGCGCGATCCATTTAATTTATTTATCGCTTTATTTATTTTCCGCATTTTAAAATTCAAGGGTTGTTTTTGGCGATGTAAATACCCGACGCCTTGTAATAGTTAGATTTAAATTCCGCAATTTAATTTCCACAATCTATAAACTGTTAAATGTTTGGTAATAGGGAATGCATGACAAGATCGAATGTATGAACCTAAAATCAACATAGATAACCCATAACATGTACAAAGATAATATTAACCGAAATAACACACTCGCACATGCGCACTCTTAGGGTACACCTCACTTGGTTGCCTTCGAACGTGGTCATTGAGTATAGGAAGTTTTAGAGGTCGCCCTCTTGTCCAAAGATCATAGTTGCCTCGAAACAGTTGCCTCGGAAAAATGATCTAAGATATTAGGGTTACCGCTAAGGCGTCCTAACGTTGCTTTAGTGACCACACGTCCCTTAATCGAATTGACCCTTAAAACTCCAATGATGATGCTACCTACTCATCAATAGTGGGATAGCATTGTCTAAAGGATATTAGCACATATTGATTCCTTTTTCGAGTAGGTAGATGGTTCTTAAGTACTTGCTCATTTCAAAACAAAATAAAACTTTTCGCACTTACACCTTTCAAACAAAAAAACTTCTTTCAAACCCACAAACACAAAGAAAAGCAATTTTGAAAACACTTTGAGCAAGTACCTAAGAGCCCATGGATAACCACAGATAGAAAGGGTGCTAACACCTTCCCTTTCTATAATCTACCCCCCGAACCCGAGAAATATCTCGAAAAAGGAATTTTTCTGTGCTTTTTTCCTTTCCTTGTTGGAT